ATTTCCCACTCAAACTCACTCTTCTGCCCTGGGACTTCATGGCCCGGGCCAAGGATTGGTCCCAAAGGAGGACCTTGTTGTCACCAAAAGCCAAACAAACCAATCCACCTCACTCTGGGGGTGACCAAGTCTGAAGTCTCCTGCCTAGTCCTGGGCAACACTTCCTGGGGACCACAACGCCTCTGAGTTCCTAAAAGTATCACAGGTTGGGCAGGTGCTTGGATTTTGTCTGGATTAACTGCCCCCCTTCCTTTCCATGTGCTGCACTACTCATTCTAATGGTGCTTGTACTCCCTGAACCATTCCCTCACCCATCCAACCATCCCTTGTCCCCTCTCTGGCAAGGACAGTGGGTCCAGGTGTTCTGCCAGGCTCCCAGGGCAGAGGGTGGGACTGTGGAGCCACCCTCGAGGGGGGGTAAACGTGCCCTGCCTGCCCTGCCCAGGGAAAGGGAACTGCCCCCAGGGTTCCCAGCACAAGGCACCCTTGGAAACATCCACTGCAATGGGACACTCAGGGACAGCAACAAGCACTGCACAGGACCTGTGCTCTGGCACAGGACCAATTTTATCCTCAGCTTTTTCTGGACCACTTCACTTTGTTTCCCACCTCATCCTGCAGTCAGAACTTGCTGTCCTTGCACCCACAAGGGCCTGAACCATCTCACAGGATCCATTTTTCCAGGGAATTCAAAGCTCCACCTGAGGACCAGGGTCTTTTCTCGCCCATCCCCGTGCTGGAGCTTGGCCTCCATCTCACTCTGCTTTCAGTTCTTTCCCTGGTTGCACATTTGCAGCCCTGGCCCCGGGCAGAGCTCGGCCTCCTGATCCCATCCCTCCTGGCCCCCGGAACCGCTGACTCAGCAATGGGGGGCCCTCCATTGCCAAGTGCACGGTCCCGTCGGGGCTCACGGGGGGAGCAGGAGGTCGAAGGTCTCCAGCCCTCCTGCTACAACCTTCCACCACTACAGCCAACAGAGGAGCCTCTCCAGCCCTGCCTCCCAAGGCATCCTGAACAAAGCCAGCCCAACTCCACAGGACAAACTGCTCCCTTTCTGCACAGTCCAGTCTACTCTGAGCAATGCCTGAATCCACTGCAGGGACCTTGCTTTGAGCTCCCCAGGGCCGGGCACCCCGAGGATCTCCCCGAATAATCCTTTCGGTGCGCGCTGGAGTCCTCGGGGTGCCCCAGCCCGGGGGGCACCAACAGCACTGTCCCTCCAGGGGGCCCAATTTGCTCCCAAGGCTTCAATGCACAGCCCAAAAGGCATTTCAAGAGGCCTTCTTGGGAACCCACCAACGTGGACGGGGAGGAAGCCACAAGAAGGCCTCATTTCTAAAGGCAGGGGGATCTTGCCTGTGTCCCAGACCGCTCCGGGGATCTGAGGCCCTTCCCGAGAAAATCTCGGTGCCGGCGTGAAGGCCCAGAGATCCCTTGGAGCCACGGGAGAGCAGGCACAGAGTCCCTCCTGGGGGCCAATTTGGCTGCCTGAACTCAGCTCTTCAAAGAAGCCTCTAAGACTCAGCTGGTGAGTTTTAGAAGCCAGGTATTCCTACACACTCTCAGATATTTTAAGAGCTTCCTGAGTGAAAAACATAGAGCTCTGATTAGGTATATCTGACCTCAGACAGCTCCTTTCCCCTTTCAGTACAAAATTATTTTCAGAGAATCATTTAATAGGAAGTGCCCAGGAATCCCAGACTGTGCTTTCCAGAACAGAAAATAAACAGAGGGAAGGAGCTCTGCACAAGTGTAACACTCCAGAACAGACCTGACTTTAGTTTTTCTCTTTATGTTCAGTTACAGCAGAAGACAAAAACTCCACCAGGAGAGCTGGCACATTACCCATGGTACCCTCAAAGTCTATCTTACAAGGGCTGTAGGAAAATCACAGCTGTACGAGTCCCTTGGGCCTGCAGATGCCTGGGGATCCTCTCCATCCACCTCGTGCTCTCCCAACAGCAGAAAGGGTGACCTCAGGGACACGGTGGCACTCGACACCCTGCTGAGAGAGCAAGGAAACCTTTAGCCTAAAGGTGAGTTGGAATTTAAAATTTCCTTTCCTGGGAGCTTTGTGAAGCCTGCAACCAGAGGGGGAAAATTTGCATCTCCTTTGGTGCAGGTGTCAACAGAGGCCAACAGAGCTTTCACCTTTTTCAGACAACTGTGCCCTTTTTGGCTCCCTGGTAGCTCCAATGGCACCAGAACCCCCTTCCTGCACACCCACGGGTGTCACACACAGGCACCCACACACCTTTGCTCCAGCCCACACGTGGCCAACATTTCCTCACCCTGGACATCCCAAGGGGAGTATTTCTGCTAGAGAGCACAGCAACCCCCCTGTCCTTGCAAACTGCCTCCCTGCAAAAAAGGAATCATTTTTCCTGGACACTTCTCCAACACCCACGGTCTTTTCAAACTGCTGTCGTGCCACCAAAGCTGCTCAGGGTCCCTCCCAGCTGTTGGCTGTCCTCGGAGCTAACAGGCATACACTCTATTCCATCCTCCCACAGCCAAATTCCCTTCTCACTGGTAGGACGGGCCCTGCCCTTACCTGTGTGAACTCCCGGGCTCGGCACAGCCGTGGGTACAGAGCAGCTTCCCAAGGCAGCTCCCGCCCGGCAGGAAGCACAACTCGCCACACTCCACCAGCCGCTGGGCACTGAACTGAGCTGAGCCCCAACTGAGGGCACAACTGGACAGAAAAGGAGCAAAAAGCATTAATGTAGCACCAAGAAACTGAGACCAGTCTTTGCCTCGTAACCCTGCGCGGGGAAAGGCTTTGGGATTCCAAAGCAAAACCTGAGACACCCAGAGAGCACCAGCCCCGCAGCCCTGCCACGGCTCCCCCCGGGGGCACCCGGCAGGTAACGGGCTTACCCGGCCCCCGCCGCCCAGCACAACGCGCCCCTAAACGCCCCCCAGCTCCCCCGGTCCATAAACCCAGCGGCCAAGGCGCTCTCCCCTCCGCAGCCCGGGCAGCAGCGGGGCCGCACCCTCAGCCCTCACACACAACCGCCCGCACCTGCCCCGCCGGCCCTTCTATACCGCGGGCCGGCAGCGCTGCCCAATCAGCACTCGAGCGCCTCCGCCCAATCGCAGCCCGCCTGTCCCTGCGGCCCCGCCCCGCCCGCTCCGCCGGCCCCGCCCCTCGGCGCGGCCCCGCCCCCCGTTCCCTCAGCGCGGCTCCCGCCGCCGCCGCAGCCCCGGCGGGCGCTGCTGGGGCCGGGGAAGGGCGGGTGGGAGCTCCGCGGGCACGGCCCGGCCGGGAGCTCTCCCGGGACAAGGGGAGCGGGGACAAGGGGACAGCGGCGTCCTTGGGGGCGGGCCGGGGGGCGGGGCCGGCGCGATCCCGCGGCGCTTCGCTCTGGGCTCTGGGGCTGTTTCGGGCTGGTTTGGGGTGCGGGTTTTGGGGCACTGCGCACACCCTCCCCTGGTCACAGCTCCCTGCGCTCCCCGCACCCCTCGCTCAGCTCCGCGGGGATTTGTGCCTCCTCTGAAGGTGGCAAATGTCTGCAAAGCCAGCCGGGAAGCCAGAGAGCTGCAGCCCCCGGGCCCCGCCGCGGCTTCCCCGCCGTCACCCGGCACCTCCCGCCCGTCCCGCCCCGCAGCACCGCCCCCCGGCCCCGCCCCAGGCCCCGCCCGGCCCCCCCCAAGAACGCCGCTGCCACCCGCCCTTCCCCGGCCCCAGGGGACCGCTGCGACCCCGCGGGGAAGGGACCCCCGGGCCGGCCCCGTCCGGCCCCGCCGCTGGCCCTGCTCGGCCACCGCCCCTCGCCCACAGTTTTAACATCAGAGAGCCAAGATTTAACCCGGAGCGCCGCAAGCTCCCAAGTGCAGGGCATCTCCATAGACTTGTTATTTTTCTCTTTTTAATGACCGCGTTGCCAAAGTCAGGGAAGTACAATCGGCATTCCCTAAACACCATCACTTCTACATCCACTGTGATCAGGGGCCGATGGGCAGCAGCCTGCCCTGGACGGGCTGCAGAGATGCTGGGGAGGCCACTGTTCCCCGGGTTTGAAGGACTCTGGCCGTGATCCCGGCCCGTGGGCAGAAAGCCCAGAGCCAGTGGGAACTCCAGCCAGCTGCAGGCAGATGTTACTCCTTCCCCGTGCCGGGGGTGGGGACGAAGGTGCCTGTTACAATCTGCTAAAATATTGCAGAAAGAATTTTTATATTCAAATGTTCCCTTGAGCAAAATTAAAACTCATACAAGTTAACTGTTGATGCCAAAACTGTTTTTATTAATTGCTAAGAGATGCGAAGAGAAAGAGGAAAAAATAAGAAAAGGTTAGAAAATGCTAAGATGACTTTTTAGAAGCATAGAAAAAGATTACCGCCAAGAACTACCTTTTGGTCCGTGCCAATTTGTGGAGTGGGGGGGGAGAGGGAGAGAAAGAAGCAGCTTTAGCCTTTTTTTTCTCTCTGGCTCCGCCGCTTTTCGGGGTGATGTTATCTCTTTAGCTGCAGGGGGTCTGGAATGCAGCCAGGATGTGAGCTTCTCCCCAGGCCGGGCGAGGATCTCGGGATATGGTCGGGGGGAAAAAACTCCCGTAGGTAGCACGGAGGGTCCCGGTCCAATTCCAGACAGCAGAGGTTCAGTCTCTGGTGACGGGCAGGCAGCTTTCGGTGGCAGGAGAAAAAAGGTGAGGGCGAGGAGGGGGGGGAAACTCTCAGCTGGTAAAGCCAATTGTCTTTCCCACTCCTCTTTCCCTGATCTTCCCAAATTTCCCTTCAGCTTTTATAGTGTTCAAAGGAGGTAGTCTGTGGTGTTTTGGCACGTAGCCCTGTTCAGATGTTTGCAGAGATATGATAACGACGAACAAGATCGGGATCTTTCATCGGGATCTTTCGGCAGGAAAACTCCAGTGGGAAACTTTGGTGAGAACTTCTGGTGGAAAACTGACACAGAAGTTTTGGTAGGAAGTTTTTGACAGGCAGAAACAACGGCGAAACATAATTTTTGGCATTTGTATGTTATCTGTCTGTTACAGTGCCCTTCCCCGTTCGGAAGTGGAAGTCGTCCCCTGTGCAGAGCCCGCTCTGATCCTCGGCCTCGGGGGAGCCAATTCCCCTGTCCCAGCCCACTTCCTGCAGAGAAGAAAGGGAAAGATTGCACACAAGGGAGACATTCTTCCCTGGGAGGGTGGGGGGGTGGCCTGGCACAGAGAAGCTGTGGCTGCCCCATCCCTGCAAGTGGCCAAGGCCAGGCTGGATGTCTATTAGAAGGTGTCCCTGCCTGTGGCAGGGGATGGAAGGAGATGATCCCTGAGATCCTTTCCAACCCAAACCACTCCACGATCCCAGGATGATTCCACGCTCTCTCTCTGCATTTATTTGGCCTCATTTCCTCTCAAAAACAACATCTCCAATTTAGTTGATTGCTAAAGCCATCATTTTAAAATCATCCCAGGAATCACAAGGGACTGGAAAACACACAGAAAGCATTCCTACACCCACCAAATCATCAGGAATTGGAACCCCATTCCCTCATCTCCCTCCTTGTTTTTCTTGGCTGGCAAACCTGATGATCCCCGCTGGCTATTTTTAGGCTGCTTTTCTTCCACAGCTCCTTTCTCCCGGCTGAAACCTCCCGGCATATTCAGGGCTTATCCGGAGGGAAGCCTCTCGGAAGTATTTCCTCTCGTGGCAATTCTGTGGGATGAAGAAGTAAAAAAAGCCCGTCAGGAGCTCCTTCTCCCCCCTTCCCTCGCAAACACCCTCCCGGTTTGTCCTCGGCAGCTCCATCCCCCCCTGGCACCCGCCCCCGACGCTTCGGCTCCCCTGGGAAAGGGACAGCAAGGGCAGGAGCAAGCTCAGTGCTGGGCAGGGGCTCCCTGGGGAACGGCACTTCCGTGCTTTAGTCCGGGGCCTTTCCAGCTGCCCTCCCTCCCGGAGGCAGAGGATGACCCCTCCCTTGTTCCTCCCACGCTCGCAGACCCAGGTCCTGCTCTTTTGGCCTCACTTTTCTTACCAGACCCGGCATCATTTTCCAGGGTCCCCAGGAAACTTCTGCACTTGACCCATTGCTAAGTGCAGAGCACAGGGCAAGGCAAGGACAAATTTCTCAGCACCCACCACCTGGAACTTTCCTTCTCTGCAGCACGCTCCCGTTCCCGCTGTCTCTGGAGGTGCCCGCACGAGTCCTCCTTGTCCCAGCCCTGCCAAACTGACACACACACAGGAGAAATAACAGGTCTTGCTTGCATAATTCCCGACCCCAACCCTTGCCTGTCCTGCCCAGAGCTCAGAGAAATCTGATGGAATATTAATAAACCACCTTTGTTAAGAGCAGTCATCAGCCCGGTCCTTCAGGCTTTGCAGGAGTTTGTAGGGAACAGACCCAAATTCCAGTCCTACCTCTAAATTTCTAACAGCTTGCCTCGGAGAGATTCTGGACAGTAACACATACAACGGAAAGAAAAGACTGCACAAGGAGTAACAGCAGGTTTGCCACAAAGAACAGAAGTTCCTGTTCTCCCTCATCAGGCTGGGACTGTAGCACCCAGTCTTTGCCATCGAGAGACCAGAGCGTTGTCATTAAGACTTAAACCTCTCCCCCATGGGTGTTTCTCAGAGAACTGAGCCAGCACTGAGCTACTCCCATGTGCCTGCAGTGGTTTGGGGAGGGGCAAGACAACCTCCCACTTCTGCTTGGAAGAGAATGAAAAGTCATTCCCCTTCTCTCTCTCTGACCCAGCACCAAAGCTGGCGTCCTCTAGGACAACACCAGACTATGCACAGAAGGCCTGATTCAACTGGGAAAGAAAAAACCCTAAACAAACAAACAAAACCACCCCGAATTTCAAGGTAAAACACGAAACACATTGAAGCCAGAGAGAAAATGACAAAGCAGGAAAAAAAAAAGAGCCAAAAGAAATGCTCTGCCTGCCTTGATATGCTCTCTGCTTGATCATTCCAAAGGAAATTCTCCACAGATCAGGAGCAATTACCAATCATTTTTCCTCTGTAACAAATGAACAACTTGGGTATCTGTTGAGGGGCTGGACATGTCCAGTGAGGGTTCAGGGTCTGGTGGGTTGTTTATGGCAGATCCTGACCGGCCCAGGCCAAACCCAACCACCCCCATCGCTGCTCCATCTCACATGGAGAATATTGATACTGTATAGAAATACTCCCCTTCACTGCTACTCCATCCTTCCTTACACATCCGTGGAACAGGTTTTCTCCACCCTTTGTTTCCAGCAACAGCTCTCCAGCCCGAATCCCAGCTCCCACCAACACAAACTAAACACACCTAAGGCGATGGTTCCATCAACACCTGGAATTCCAAGCTCCCCGTTCCCTGGAATGCTCATCCCAACACTCACAGCAATCTCACCTCAGCCCACAGGCTCTCTGTCCTCAGAGGCAAACACAGCCTGCTCTGGCACCACATTTCCTTTCACTCCTGGTCTCCTGCAAACCCCCAGGGAAATCCAGTCCCTCAGACCCTGCATCCCTGGACATGAGGGGAACTGGAGTTTGACCCGGATCCCAGCGTCCTGGACAAGTGTGTTCCCAGGAGCACATGCCTGTGGCTCCATCCAGCCCATCCATCCCTCCTTTCTCCCCAGGGAGTCCCAAACCCTCCCCCAGCTCCACTGCACCTGTCCCACGGCCCAGCCCAGCTCCAGGCTCTCCCCCAGCGCCGTGTCAGCTCCAGCCCTGGCAGAGCTGCAAACACCCCCCAGGCTTGGTCCCCCGGGCTCCTGAACCCCCAAGACAAGGCTCAGGCTCACCAACAGGGACCCACCTGCCCCTCTCAGCACAGCCCAACCCCACAACTCAGGGACCCCAGGCTCACCTTTGCCCCTTCCTCTCCACTCTTCCCAGCAGACACGGCAAGGACCAGAGTGGAGTGGGAAAAAGAGCCAGTGCCCAGGGAGCAAATGCCAACAGCCAGGAGGAGAGAAACGTGTCCCTCTGACTTACCCCACCCCACAAGAAGATTCAGGGAAGTTTTACTGCAGCTTTCCAGTAAATAAAGAGATTTATGAGAAAAATGAAGAGACTTTCTACCAAAGTTTCTACTGATAGGACAAAGGATAATGGTTTTCAACTGAAAGGGACATACTAACAAAATTTTTCATGATGCCAGTGGAGAGATATTAAGAGCACACTGCACAGGGAAGCTGAGGCTGCCCCATCCCTGGAAGTGTTCCAGGCCAGGCTGGATGAGACTTGGAGCAACCGGGGACAGTGGAAGGTGTCCCTGCCCACGGAAGACGGGGTGGCCTTTGAAGGTCCCCTTCAAACCAAATCGCTCTGGGATTCCCCTCCAAAATCCCTACCAAAGAGGCACAGCAATCAAAGCAGAGGGACTGCACTCCCAGCTTTTCTTACCTGCAGGCACGCTGGACATAAAAGCCACAGGCTCAGTCCTGCCAGAGGCGTCCGGCACATCCACGGCGACCGAAGGGAAAGAGGGAGCCTGGGAACACGGAGTAAAAGACACCTTAATTAGGACTGCACCGAGCAATAGCCAGGTCATTCCCACAGACAGCTTCGCCGGCCAGTCACACGAAAAGCACTTACCCAGCAGGGCCTCAGTTAGGATGGCTCCTGACGCTGACCAGGCGAACGCCTCCGTTTGCCCCGGGGGGTCAAGAAGAACATCCCTGGTAAGAAGTCACCCCGAAGGACAAAAAGGGAAAATTAGTGAAGCACGGGCTCCTCTTCTGACTAGACTGCCACCGGCATTCAACAGCAAATGCCACGACTCTTCTGTTACAGACGAGAAAACCCTGTTCTCCCAAACAAACAGCGAGGAGATCTATGGGCACGCCTGAAAATTTCCTGGGAGGAACTTTGAATTCCCCCGCAGAAGCCCAAATTCACCGAACGCCTGCTGAACTCAGCAGGGGCACACTCCCTCAAGCCCAAGGCATCCTTAGGGCGCCTCCGACTCCGGATTTAAGGTCGGAGAAGCTCGGCAGGGCCAAAACACCGCCGCTTTCCCACGGGCGTCGCTTGCAAGGGCGCCCCCGAGCGCCGGGCCCTGCCTCACAGTCGCCGCCTGGCGGACACGGCCGGGAGCGGCACTGCAGCCGCGCGCGCCACTGCAGCCGCGCGCCCCCCCCCC